AGGCCTCAAAGGTCCGTATTATTCTTCAGATAAATTTTGAAATCAAATGTAATATTGAAAAACGATAATAAAACTTATGCACGGAAAAGTTTGTCACAAAATGTTTCAAAAAATATCAAAACAAAATTATAATGATGCAAATGATGTTTTCTGGGTCTTTGAAATCCTCTCTTTGCCCTTTAAAAATTTGTATAACTCGAAAAAAACTTTGTATAACTCGAAATGTATACAGCCAAATTAAATATTAAATAATGAACAATAAACTCAAGCATACATATATTCATATAATACATATATTCGCATACATATACTCGAATACAAGCATATATTCGAACGTGATAATATGTTCAAGTTTATAAACAATGAGGAAATATATAATTAAATACTAAAATGTAGAAGATATTCTGGAAATTGATAAGCAAAAATACATCATAATAAATATTGGCTATTGTGAATAAAATTGTGATATAATGGCAGTTACTAAATAAATAATTCTATAAATAATCAATATAATTCACTATCTAATAACGGAAATATTAAAAGATCTCATTATATTTTATTTATAAGAGCCATATAATATATACTATCTTCTCTTTTATTAATTTAAATGTTAGTTAATTTATTATTGTTTAAATAATTTTAAATATATGTATATGTATATGTATATTTATAAATAATATTATATATATGTATATGTATATGTGTTTAAATATATGTATATGTATATGTATAAATAAAGTAAAAGTATAAAGTATTTGTAAAAAATGGCTTATAATAAAAAAAAAATCTTTCATTTTTTTTAGAATAGCTGAATTGATCATCAACCATTTTATAATCTTGAAAATTTGTTATCCCCGTCTCTTATATCTTACGATTTTTTACGGATATCTAATATCTTCCAACTTCCGTTCCGATAAACTCGGGAACGCGCAGTTTTTGGCGTTATTCCATACAGAAACTCATGCAAAGAGGTCGGCGGATCAAAAGTTTTGCGTTTCACGAATGTTAGAAAGAAGGAAGAGAATTCATGGAACTTCGCATTTACTGGATTAAATGTCGAGTTCGTTGAAAACTCTGTGCACATAACGTCAAGCTTGGAAGTCTGACAACGCGTACGAAACGACCAACTGGACAAGATTTAGAGAGATTAGTTAGCAACGAGATCGACGTAGCGTCTCATATCGGAATTTTTTTAAATATCCGAGAATTTCAAGTTCGTATCAACTTCAATATCATAAATTTTTTGGAAAAGAAGAGATAGAATCGCGGTGTGTTGAACTTGTATAAAATATCTGAGTTAAAGAAGGTTCATCTAATTTATTTTCTTTTCTTTTAATTCTATTTATAGATAGTATACTACAATAAATTAAGTAAAAATAAAATCTTTATTTCTCTCATTAAAAAATAAAATATACCTTCTATATAGAATATTTGTAGATAAACAAAACAATTTTTTTAACTCTGATATTAGGCCATATTATATGCATGTGAATATAATAAGTTTTAAATAAAAAATAAATTAAAAATAACAAAGAAACTAAACATTATCTTTCTAAATCAGTTTTAAAATTATTATTAATCATAAAAAAAATTCCCCTTAGGACTTACTCTATTCTTAAACGTCACAATTATCTATAATTTGATCTGTAATTAATTTTTTAATCTTTGAAAATTGTTAGCAATTGGATACAATTTTATCTTCTTAAAAATTGACAGTGTTGAAAATTGTTATCTTTGGTAGGAGTCTCATACAAACAAATAACAAATAAATAACAGTGACTATAGTAATAATCACTTAAATTCTTATGGGCCTTATTCAATGAGAATA